AAAGTCACAGATAAAACATACTTTTGTATAAAAATAGGCTAACGCTTTCATTTAAATTGCTACAGCAATGAAGTTGATTAATAGCTGTAAATAATAGTGAGGTGAACATGATTGAAGTTTGCAGTAAAGTTTGATTCATTGTTTTTTCCTTTTGTTTTTCCTTTCAGAGTGTATAAGAAGACCAGTGGGAACGGAACCGTAAGTCGTTTTAAAAATAACGAGGCCTCTCTGGGGCTAATAATACCATTGTTTTTATCTCATTTCCCAGCTCCCACTGTTAAAATTTCCAATATTTAGGAATATTGGCGGAGGACTGACTGTTTCTATTTGTTTCTGCTAGATCGCCTTGTACTTGGGGAAGAGAGACTTTGTGGACCATGTGGATCGTGTCGACGTAGTTGGTGTGTTTTGTGGTTAACGCACTATACTCTCTGCATTTAAACTCAGAATTATCATATGCCTGGGAAAATTAGATATAAAATTATTCCCAATCTGTTAAGAAGTTTGTTTCTGCTAGCAAATGAGACATACGTCACCGTCACTTAAAAGACAATAAAACAAAGTAAAAGTTGCATCAGTTTTGAAAATTGCAGCATGAAGGCAACATATATCCTCCACAACAAACAGTGAAAAAAAATCTTTATTAGCATAACAGAAATCTTGTTATTCTTATCATTTCTGACCGTCGTTTTGCATGTTTCCACTGGTATTTTGATTATTTATCTTTCTCAGGTTTTCATGGACTCTGACTGGGCCAATCACAGACTTTAATATTACCTCCATGCAGAAGAGAAATGTTTGTAAAATTAAAGGTTATTTTACACCTAAATCTGCCAGGAGTGTGAATAATTTTGTGTTTATATACATCGACACATTCCTTTGAAATTAAATGAAAATAATTTGTTTAATAATTAATCATTTCTTTTTGCAGATGGGATCGTTAAGGTGGACCCTTCTGGTTTAAATGGAAGAAAAGGTGATCTTATAGAATAGAATAATCAAGTGATGTTTAAATATGATACACCAAGATATGCATTTTATTAAACAAGAACAATTGTATAACAAATCTAAAATTGCATTCTACATTTTACAAATGAAATTTAAATGTAAATTAAGCTTTAATTTTGTTTCATTATGTGTGTAATGTATATACATGACAATATCTTTAGCAATAATGATCAGTTTCTCTGATTTTACTTTTTATAGGTGTATGTTTGAGTAAAATGAACATTGTTATTTTATTTTATTAACTACTGACGACATGTCTCTGAAATTCCAAACAAAAATTCTGTATTTATTTGCAGAAAATGAGAAACGGTCAAAATAATGAAAGAGATGCAGTGCTTCCAGACCTCAAATAATGCCAATAAGGTTATAATCAATGCATTTAATGAAGATGGACTGGTCCTCATTTTCCGCTGCAGTGTTTGTCTACCTCGCCTGCGCCTTCCGCTATGGAAGTGACGACCTGGATGTTATCGGACTCTCCTTCAGGAGAGACATCTGGATGAAGAAAGTCCAGGTGTATCCGGCTGCCGATGGAAACCCGACTAAGACGCCAATGCAGGAATCCCTCCTGAAAAAAGCTGGAGAGCAAGGATGTCCTTTCTCTTTCCAGGTAGCAAATTTCACTTTACAGAATTTAATATTTTTTCATTATTTTCCACGTTCATAATCTGATCTGCATCCACCTCTGCGTTTTTCAGATGCCAACAAATCTCCCATGCTCAGTCTCTTTACATCCAGGGCCGAATGATAATGGCAAGGTAGCATGACCACTCTTCTTTTGCAATATTTTTAATGTATTATTTACCCATGCAATGCTTGTACTTATGTTTTAAACCAACTAGTTTCTGTCGCAGGCCTGTGGAGTGGATTTTGAGGTCAAAGCATACATTGCCAAAGAAGCCAGCAATCCAGATGAAGTCATTGACAAAAAGTGGGTTTTCTGTCTGGTGATTCTATTATTTCACCCTGAAATGCAACAGAACACACGCATTGGTCCGTGTTTGCCTTTTAACGCACCTTCGCTTCCCTCAGGGATACCTGCCGCTTGATGATTCGTAAAATACAGTTCGCACCGACGAACAAAGCCGGACCAAAGGTCGAGCTCTCCAAACAGTTTATGATGAGCGACAAACCAATTCACCTGGAGGCCTCTCTGGAAAAAGAGGTACACTTACATTTTTATGCTAAGATGTTTAGCATTCTGGAAACTGAATGCTTTGAGTGAGTAACTCCAAAAAAAAAAAAAACATTAATGTTGTGTTTAAGATTTACTACCATGGAGACCCGCTCACTGTCATTGTGAAAATCAACAACGAGACCTCAAAGACTATCAAAAAAATCAAAGTGTCAGGTAAGAAACACCACAAAGCGGATATTTTTAACTGGTGCAAGATGAAGAAATGTTTTAAAATAAGTAAATAAATGACAGTGAAAATGTTTGTTTCTAGTGGATCAGCTAACAAGTGTTGTCCTCTACTCATCTGACACCTACACCAAGGAGGTCTGCTGCGAGGAGTTTGCGTAAGGTTTTACCCATGCATGCACGTTCACAGACATATGAAAGTAACGCATAAAAATATAAGCAAATTAAATACTATTGTTCAGCTCAATGTCTTTATAAAGTGCAGATTACCTACAGGGTTGTCTAGGGTACTTTATAAGACAAGCAGAAATCTGTTAAAATCCAATATAATCCAGCAATATAGACATTTTTAAATTCTTAAACAATCAAATTCAGTTTACAATGTCAATTGGAAAGATGTCTCTGTCTAGGATAGCCAAGCTAATTACATTCACTTCTATGTTATTTGCTATATATGACATGCTGTGATCGACAAAATAATTTGCATTTTTCACATTATAGTTACCAAAAAGGTTACATTTGCATTGCAACTGATTTATTTCCTCTTTATCATACAGAGAGAATATAGCTGCAAACTCTATATTTGAGAAGTCTTATCAAGTTACCCCCCTGCTGTCCAACAACAAGGAAAAACGAGGGCTTGCCGTCGATGGGAAGCTGAAAGAAGAGGACACCAACCTAGCATCCACAACGCTGTAAGACAAATCTACTTTTTCACTGAACCAAGGAGCTTAGTGTGTGTCCAGGACAGGTTTTCATCCTCTTAATGAGTGGCACTGATGCAGATATACAGTGTCATCCACTTAACATAAATCCTCAAGCTCTAAAAAGGTAAACTATTCCTGTCTCCTGGCAGGAGCCAAGGGGACAAGGAGATGCAGGGAATCATCATCTACTACAAAGTCAAAGTCACTGTAACGGCGTCTGGAGGAGGGTAAGGCGTCTCTGAACAGAAAATGTTAAACCACAACCGTTTCCTTGTTGCTCACTCTCCTTCATTGTTTCTCTTTTAAAAAGTTTGCTAGGCGGCCTGACGGGAAGGTAAATAGTTTCCCTCATTTATTGTCTTCTAATAATTCACATTTCAGTATTTTTCTAACAACAAAGCTTTTCCATTTCAGTGACATTGTCGTGGAGCTTCCTTTAACTCTGATGTCCCCAAAACCTGCGGGTTAGTGATTTTTTTACATCAACTAGCAAATCAAATGTTTAGTGATAACTAACATGATCATTCTCCACTTTTTGTCCCATTTACTGCATGTTGTTGTGGTTCATCAAGCAGAAATGTAAGTACAAAACCTCTTGTTTCTCGTGTAAAAGTAGAATTAGGGGTGTGTTCCTGCTTGCTTTCCTCATGTGTGACTGAGTGTTTTATGAACCTCAGCTAATTGGATTAAAAGTGTATTTAGCCCAGGTGAGCTCAGTTGAAGTTCTGTGTGTTTTAGGTGTTCGTCATTCAAGAGACATGATCATTTCAATACACCATGAAAAAAAAAAGCATCTATGGTGCAATTACATGTTTGAAATCAAATTTGCATACTTAAAAAAGTATTTGTTTGAAAAATGATTTTACTTGAATATATGCTAAACCTAAAAGCTTTGCAACCACTAAAACTAAATGCATTAAATAAATTACCATAATATTGGAAAAGAAGCATCATGCATTTTATTGTGAAAATACCAATTTTTTTTTTTTGTAAATATTTTTGTACATATCCTCCATATGATGTTGGTATCCACTTTATTTACAGAACGGATGTTGCAGTTGATGCCGTGGAAGCATAAAAAAGGAAAATCAACAGGGAAAACCAAGGAACTCCTCACTGACGAAGAACACAAACAGCACTGTTTCATGCAAGCAAAGCAATGTTCCTATTTTCCATGTACATATAATTTTTTACTGTTAATTACACTCACTGCTCAATTATGGGAAAAGTATGTGTAACTTTTTTCTGAATGTCAATATATTTAACTGGAAAATTGTTAATTGTCCCTTAGTATAGAGTCTGCAGACTCTATAATAGGAAAATGCAGACCTTAATTTGTTATTAATGTGGATTTTTGTGTCATTAGAGCAATGAATAAACTTGCAGCTGTGAGATAAATGTCTTCTGTTTGCAAATAAACAAATACACTCAAAAAAAATCTGTTTCATTTTATTGTATTCTGGTGTTATTTGATTTAAATTGTATTTAAAGAAAACTCTTAATTTATGGAAATTAAAAATGAAAATAATTTGGTGGTATACTTAGTAGCCCTGCGACAGACTGGCGACCTGTCCAGGATGTACCCCGCCTCTCGCCCGGAACGTTAGCTGGAGATAGGCACCAGCACCCCTCCCGACCCCACTGAGGGACAAGGGTGTTCAGAAAATGGATGGATGGTATACTTAGTATAATTATGCATTTGGAAAACCGAGTATTTCTACATATATCAAAATCTCTCTTTTTGTGAGATCCAGGACTAACTAAGTAACTAACTAACTAAAGCACATAATTAACATTTTAAGCTAAGTTAACATTTAACAGATGTTAAAAATATATTCTGAATATTACCATATTGCTTTTTCTCCCAAGTTCCCGCTTGGTGGCGCTGTTTCACTGTTCTGCGTTTAAGAAAACAAAAGCTTCGGTTAGTGCAGGATAAAGATTCTCGGTTTGCTCCCCAGTCTAGACATCGCATCACTAGCCGACTCTGCTACTTTAGCTGTATATTTTTTTTAAACAAAATGTCAACCACGACCGGTGGCGGAGAGTTTGGCAACCCTCTGCGGAAATTTAAGTTGGTCTTTCTGGGTGAACAGAGCGGTAAGCGAGGCTCTTTAAATAACTGTTAATGTCAGATTTAAGAAAATGTGGAAAGAACTGTCAAGATTAGCTTAACAGCTAGCTTCGCGTTAGCTCGTCACTCGCTGACGAGATAAAGTTGCACATCAGCATCACAAACTAACAGTGATATATTATTTTAAATAAGTAGGTGAAGGCGTTCTTAAAATGTTCGCGAGTACAAATGATGAAAAGGATGATAAACTTTAGTTTTTTCGACATTGGTGATGTCATTGAGTAGCTAAGTTATCCTGCTAAGCTAGCCAAACATCTTACAGTTGGACAAAATAAAGTATAATGGAAACAGCTTTGATGTGTCGATTAACTCGGAAATAATTAATGAATGCCCTGTTATCTAACTATATCAAACATGTAGTTAATTCCTTATGTACTATCCCACCAGTTTAATGGTAGCTAGCACAGCACTGTAATAAGCAGTTTGTTAGCTAACTGTGCTAGAAACGTTATTTAATAATGACGTTTTTACTGCCCGCATCTGACTTTTGAGAGTTTTACAGTTATTTGTGGAATATTTAATGTTTCTAATAATGTCTCTGTAAGTCAGCAAGGTAAAGGTTTTGTATAATTATTGGCCACATTAGCACATAGATAGTAATTAGCTGGCAGCATTTGTCAGAGCCACGTCGCCCAGTGTGTGCTAACTAGTCGGCCTCTTCCTCGCCGGTTATCCTTGGTCCTTTGGGGCAGACACGCTCAACCGCAATATTAATATTTGAAATATTTGTTGATTGCTTTATCTTTAGAGTGGCGTATTGCGGACCATTTATCCCAAGTTTAGCCATTTAAATTTTCCAAATTTTGTGGCTCCACCCTTATTGCCAGCTCAGCGTGTGGGTTCAGCAGTTCACTCCCCATCACTGCTGAATTTACTCACCAAATGCTGTCACCGATATTGCTAGATCTCGCGAGAGAAACAATCAACCAGCTCTATGAAAACAAGCCCAAAAAAAGCCCGACACATTGTGTAAAACAGAGACCGCTTGTAAGCAGTATCAATGCATGCATTTATTGTGGCATTGTACATAAACAACAACAAAATTATGCAAAACACTGGAGTCTGGTGTGAGTGTGTTTGGGGTGTGCCGAGTTAACTCTTGGCAAGGACAAACTAGCAATCGTGTTTTGCTTTGTTGTTGGAAACTGGGAGAGAATCACTGGATTTCAGTCAGAAAGAAAACCAAGCCCAAATTAGCAACTTCACTTTCAAAAAGGTCCTGTTTCCTTTAATAACGACGGCACAAAAATATATGTCTGGTTTCTATTTTAACAGCATGAGTTGGGCTCTGTTGTTTTATCTGTATTTTTCAACTGTCACTAAATTGTGTGTGAAATTGTGTGTTTATCTGTACAGTTGGGAAGACCTCACTCATTACCAGGTTTATGTATGACAGTTTCGACAACACTTACCAGGTAAATTAAAAACTATGCATGATTTGAAAGTTTTACTGATTATCTGACTTGCTGTGGAAAAAATGGTAATCCAAGGCTGTTCACACAGCAGGCAAATTAAATCCAAATACAAACAATTATATTTGAACATCAAGATGAAGTAGGGCTATTATAAAAGAATATTTTAGTATCAATTATTCTTATGATTGGTTGAGTAGTAAGGAGAGAGAGAGAGAAAGAAAATATTTACGTTGTAGAAAACCAGTCCTCATGCTGACAGATTTTAATAAAATATAACACTTTCTTTCTTATCTTCAATGTTGGATGAGAAATATGTTAATTTCATAAACATGTTAATAGATTGTTCTAATTTACACCATTCTTCTCCTACAGGCAACAATTGGTATTGACTTTTTGTCAAAAACCATGTACCTAGAAGATCGCACGGTAAGCCCTGTGTTTTCTGCTCTCATCATTCCCACTGGTAGAGTTCTTAAGCTCCTAGGAAAAAGCATGCATCTGCTCTCTATTCAGTAGCCACCATTTATTTCCATTTCATCATTTCACATTTTGGTATTGCACTGTCCTAGATTTTTGTAATTCATTTTGATTTGTGAAAAAAAAAAAAAAAAATGTGATCATATTTTTTAGTTCCCATCGTTACGTTTCAAAACATTTTTGTTTCCTTTCCATCCCCTGGCTTGCTCATGAAATTCACCCACACATGGTGCCCCGTTTGTATCACGGCTGGCCACAGATTCGGCTGCAGCTCTGGGATACAGCCGGACAAGAACGTTTCCGCAGCCTCATCCCCAGTTACATCCGCGACTCAGCGGCTGCTGTGGTGGTTTATGACATAGCCAGTAGGTATCATGGCCTTGCCTCTTTCATTGTCCTTCGCTTATGACGTGAAAGGGCAAAAAATCCCAGCATTTGGAGTAACAAATCATTTTCAGGCAGCATGATAAGACTGTTTGCATCAGCTGTGATTCTAAAGTAAAGCCTCTGACAGCTGTTTTAAATCTGGCTGATAGAATAAGTGTCTATCAGCGTCTCTTCATGGGCTCGGATAAAGAATAATCCAGCCGGGTTTTCTTTCACATGTCTCGTATGCATAACAGTCGTCATCTCTAAGCTTTCTGCACCTAAACGATTCCTCACCGCCGCTTCATAAAATTTTTCTCCGCCGCTTCACTAGCAGACCTTTGATGTCTGTCCCGTTCTCCACCTTGTTGTTCTTTCCTGGGCTTTCTTTATTCTTTACTCTTATTGTCCTCTTCTCCCGACGTTCCAATCCTCAGGTCCGGCTCCAGCTTTGGGACACTGCTGGACAGGAGCGCTTTCGTAGCCTAATTCCCAGCTACATCCGTGACTCTACCATTGCTGTGGTTGTTTATGACATCACCAGTGAGTCAGGGCTGTGCTTCTAACTTTCCTGTTGGGGCCGAGAGCTATTGGAAGGAAGCTGATTTGTGTCTCATCTATTCTAATTTCTGCAATATTTTCAGAACTTTCTCTCTGTATGTTTATATTCCATCTGTAAAATATTTCTGCTTATTAACACGACTTCCAGCTTGCATAAAAACAATCTGGCTTTTGTCCTGAAGTGAAACAACAACAACCAATGCTTATGTTTAAATATTTGTAGAAGAACATGGTTGGTGACTTTTGGATTTGCAGGAGCTAATGTGAACAGTAACTTTGTTTTGTTTTTATTTGCAGATCTTAATTCTTTCCAGCAAACCTCCAAATGGATTGATGATGTGAGGACAGAGAGGGGAAGTGATGTAATTATTATGCTTGTTGGAAACAAAACAGACTTGGCAGATAAAAGGTACACAGTCATGACATTAGCATTTTATTGGCTGTACATCATATTTGCATCAGGTAATTTTGCTGAAGCAAAATCTTGATTTACACACTCTGAGTCAGAGATTTTTGGATTTTAAAGATTAAATTTTTAGAAAATGTGGGGGATTTTCTCACTAATTCACTCTCTAGGCTCGTTATCTTATTTGACATGCATTACATTGTTATACAGCTTCTGTTTATTTGGACTTTAATTTACAGTCAGCTCTATGACAGAGTGTTTGGACCAGGTTAAGATTCTTCTTTTTTATTTTGTTTTGAGAATAAAGTTGTAATTTTACCAGAATACAGTTGAAATATTAAGAGAATAAAGAATTTAATAGAAATATTTAATTTTTTGACACATCAGAATTAAACTATCAGCAGCAGGATTTTGAAACAATCATGGATTTACTGAGATAGTCATGTTGATCTTGACAACTTTATAAAATATTTTTTCTCATTAAAACAACTTTTTCTTGTAATTTTAAGACAAATTTTTTCTGGTTAAATTGCATCTTTATTCTGCTAATATTATACTAATATGCTCATAATTAAACATAAGTTCTTACAGCCTGGCCTTAATATTTTGTCATACAACTCACACAAGAGATGATTGAAATAAAAAACACGTTTTAAAAATATTTTCAGTCATTTGCTATTTCTATTTTAGAAAACAAAGCAAGAAAAACTATTAAAAATATTGTAGATTTTGTTTTTAAGCCATATTGCCCAGCCCTGCTGTGTGTGTTGTATTGATATAATATTTAAGTTTCACTCATTAAACTCAAATGTAATTTAATTAGGTTGTATTTATTTGGAGCCAGTTGTTTAGCAGTAAATGAAGTTTGCCGAAGCCTGGGATCCCTGCGTTCTTCCCTTCAGTTTGTCTTCACCCAGTTTTGCCTTCATTGTTGTTTTACTCTTTTTTTTTTTATTACTGGTTCAAGTATTTTTCATTTTGTGTATTTTGAACATATTTCTGTTCTCCCCCTTTGTTTTTATGGGTTTTTTTTCACTGCCATACTTATGATTTCCATGTCTGCTATGTTTTGTTTTGATCCTTGTCATTTTGATTTTGCTTTTTTCTTTCGTTTTCATGCATGTTTATCCCTCAACACTCCTCCACCATATTTTCGCTCCCCGCTTTTTCCTCCCTGGGACCATGGCAGGCAAGTTTCTGTTGAGGCGGCAGAGAGGAAAGCGCGTGAGCTCAATGTGATGTACATAGAGACCAGTGCCAAGGCGGGCTATAACGTCAAACAGGTTGGTGTTCAGCAGGTGCAACCCTGAAATGGTTCTGAACGGATCGTAATGTGTCGTAGTGCAGGGAGACCCGCCTGTGATTTCCAGGATGTAAAGCCCTCCATGTTTTCCTTTAATTGTTTGACTTCAATTTTCAGCTTCACCTCTTTTTGTCTGTGTTTCTGTCCCAGTTGTGAACTAATCCCTTATGTTGAGCTCTTCTTGTTTCTTCATTTCTTCTCCTTTTGGTTCTTCCTCTTTGCGATGTTTCTTTCCATACCTTTCTTTTCGTCCATCTCCCCACCTCTGCTTCTGCCGGAGCAGACAGATCACCACGGAGGAGGGCGAGCAGAGAGCTAAGGAACTGAATGTCATGTTCATTGAAACCAGCGCAAAGACTGGCTACAATGTCAAACAGGTAGCATATCTGTTTCTTCAGGCTAGTTCTGCTTTCACAGTCAACATGTAACTCCTCCCATCACCGTTTCCTTTGACGCCACAGCTTGGCTCGTGCTTGTCTTGTCGTGCAAAACTTGTGATCTTGTATCCGTTTCCTTTCCACTTCAGCATATTATGCTGTTAGAGGTTCTACTATCATTTTCTCTGTTCCACCCTGGTGCACTGATGCAGTGGTACTTTGGCTTGTTGGACTTTCCAGAAAGAAGGCATCGCTCTAAATACAGCTAAAGCCAGATGTTTAAGTATAAATAAAAAAGACTTGACCTTAAATCAGACTAAGCTTATCCTGTTTTAGGTTACTATAGTAAGGATTACCAAAATTATTTCAGTTTACTAAATGCTCAAATGAGACAGTTTTTATTTTCTAATTTAAACGTTTACATACAGTTCCATAGAACTGAGTCAAACATTTTGGGTATTTTTCCAGAAGCCTCTCGCAGTAGTTTGCTGGAGTTTTGACCCATTCCTCCTGACAGAACTGGTGTAGCTCAGTCAGGTTTCTAGACTCGCACAACTCTTCATCTCTTTCTGAAGTGACTGCGATCAGGACTTTGTGACGACCACCACACAACACAGACCAAGCTTCCCCTCTCCTCCTTTAAATGTAGCAACAGCCATTAAGGCCTGACAATATATTTTTTACTTAATACACAAAAAATGCATCCAAAAATAAAGTTTTTGTCTTTTAGCACACTTGGAAACTGTAATCTGGCTATTTTTTATAATGCTTATGGAGTAATGGCTTCTATTTTATGAGTGTATAATTATTTTAAGAGACCAACGTGGAAACTTGAGGCATCTGGAGGTCGACTGTTCTCTTCCTGATATGTTGGCTGGTTTAATTTCCTTTTCAAGTCACACAACTTAAATGTTGTGAATTAAATGGACGAATACAAAGCCGTGACATAATCACCTGGGTTTTACCAGGTAAATTCATTTAAAGTATTATATACTGTAAAACCTTTTAGTTTTAAAGAAAGTAATGAAAGATTTCTTTTACTACTCTGGCATTTGCCAAGCAGAAACATATATTTTTAATTCTAACAGTCCTAAAACGGTCGACGGTCTGATTTAATGTCGGAAAGGGAGAAAAAAGAAGATGTTTTTTTTTTTTCATATGTAAATATGAGGTTCCACCTGCATTTCTGTAAAGTTGAAAACTATTTTTTTTTTCTTTTTATGTTTTGGGGGACTTGTAGCAAAGAGACTAAAAAAACTGTTCTTAGTGATCAGATATTGGAACCCTATATCTCTTAAATAAATAATGTATTTGTTATCAAAATAAATTATGAACAGTGTAATTATAAAAAGTTTGTGGTAAAACAGTGTAACATTTGTAACTGTACTTTTGGTAAATCTGCAGTTTGACACATTTAGGAGATCTCTCCATGTGATTTTTGCTCAGTAGTTTGTTACATTTGGATATAAGGTGAATCTCTCTGAATTTCTGGTGTGAATCTATCTTCTAATGTTCTGCTTTCATCCTTCTAGTTTGGTTTGCATGTTCATTTTAATATGATGGCTAAAAGATATTATTTTAATGGCAAATTCTCAAAAAATTTAGGAAAGTTATGTGAAATTCCCCTAAAATATTTTTCTCAGAGTCTATAGAAGAATGATAGTATTGTTGCCATTTATATAAAATCACCAGGAACATCATCATATTAAAACTCACTGAGCAACCTGAATTTATTGAATTTTGAAAGATGAGTATTTTCATCAGTATTAATCTAGCAAATTGGATTTCCATTTAATTTTTAAGCGTTGACAGTGTCGGCAGTAGTTGGTTTTAAATGTGATTGGTTGTTTGACTAATCGACTTTGTTTTGTAGCTGTTCCGACGTGTCGCTGCTGCGTTGCCCGGGATGGACAGCACACCAGAGAAGAGCAAAGAGGACAGTATCCTTTTCATGATACTTTCCACAAAAAAATTCATCATCATAACATGGCAAAACATATTTTACTCTAAAAGTGGCGATAAGCAACTTTTTTGTGAAAACATGTTTCCTTCCCCTAAATTAATCCAGGAGTAATTTACTGCAGCAGTTTTAGGCTGATATTTCAAATTCAGGTTCAAAGATACTTTATAAATCCCAAAGCGAAATTAAATGATGTTGTAACTCATTAATTTAGATTCTTCAGATCTGAAGTATATAGTTACTCTTTTAGTTATAATACAGTTTGGATATGGATAGTCATCATCTTGTCTAAATGTAAGAAGTAGTTTTTGAAAAAATAAGTTTTGATGGTGGTTTCCAATGAATTGATTTGTACAGCGTTTTTCAGGACACTCGAAGAAACTTTACAATAAATTCAGTCATTCCCATTCACACATATTTATTTATTAAGATTTTGTTGCCAAGTTTGGCCCAAATGCTTTATTTTATGGCTTTAAATCAAGTAATCTGTAAACATTTAAAAAAAACTTTACTTTGAAACGTTTTTATGAGAAGCTCTTTTTTTCCACAGATTATCTTTAAAAGGGGACTCTTATTCTGAAGAGTATTGGGTAGCTTCACTCAAAGTGGCTTTTTTAAAAAAAATTAGGCGAAGTAAGGACACAAGCAAAATTACCCAATATGCAACGGTCCAACCAAATGGGTGGCGTTTAAAACCCAGAGGTTGGGTCAGATAATGTGATAAAGTGTGCTCTTGAGAATCTGAGTCATGGTTGCTTAACTCAGCTTCTCCCAGTGATCGACATCAAATTGGAGAAACAGCCAGAGATGACTGTAACCGAGAGCAGCTGCTCCTGCTAGTACACCTCGCCCCACCCAGCCTGTTTCCTCCCCACCAACAGCTTGTCTCTCAGTGGCCACTCTCCACCCATGGCACCCTGCCACTGGGACGGAGGACCGATGTTTTTATTTTTTTATTGTTTGGTTTTTGTTTTCCTCCCCTTCTCAACTCAGTGACTTTTCAGAGTAACCGTGTGGATGTGCATTACTGTAATGAATCTGATTATCTTGGGGAATATAGTTCAGAAACAAATGTTTAAAAATGACAAATAAGTTAAACCTGTTCAGATTTTCATCCAGTTGCATGGCATTATATAGGACTGCAGACTGACATAGCTAACTGCTCTTGACTTTATGCACAGTCCAGGATGTTAGTGCTGTTTCTCTCGTTGTTGTAAAGTTGCTTTGGAATATGTAAATGACTGCAAGGTTTAATTCTCAGCCCCTTTTTATTATTTTTATTTAAGGAAGAAACGTTTTATCTCTCGGACAGATCATTTTTTCATATTTCCTGTCGCATTTTGAGGAAGTACAAACATAACTGTACGTCATTTCAAGCCATGATGATATATCTGACTAAACTTAGGCTCTGTCAAAGCTGCCAAATTCACCAGTTGTGACCAAATCAGTCAAATTTTAAAGGACGAGTTAAAAAGTAATGAGGGACTTTCATGAAAGGGAAATATTTGGTCACTAACCCTAAGCTGTGCGTTAAAACTCTATCAGCTTTCAGTGTTGTTAAATTTGCTGCCCGCATACTAACGTAACACATCTGAGGAAGCTACTGGTGGAGAGTCTGGTCGCTCTGCGAGGTGGCTGCCACGTCACCGATAGTTTGTGTTGTGCTGATCACACTATTGTAAGAACATGCAGCATGCTCACCATGCAGGATTTCTATGGATAAGAACACAGATGCCTTGCTTGTTTGTTCACCATGTTGTGCACTGAATCAAGCCACAATATTGTAAATTATCAGAGGAGCCTGTTGACTGGTTCATGGCTTCACTAGTTGTTTTTGTAGAGTTGTTAGGTAGGTAGATGTCCTCAGATACGGCTTACTAACACCCTCGCTGTAAAAAAATAAAAAAATAAACGGTGCACAGAAGTTAGTTGCAGCATCCTTTATTGTGTTGCTATTGCCTGCGTGGGACCGTTTTGGTTTTATGCATTTATTTATTTTGTAACTTGGACTTACAGTTGACCTTCTTGAGCTTGACCAAAAGTACAGACGCTGCCACGCATGTTGGAGGTTTGCTTTATTTATTGTGTCTCCGCTAGAGCTCCGCGTAAAGGTGGCATTTATAAGTCAGCACCGCTTCGACACACACACACACATGGTCTATTAATAAAATTAACTAGAGAGCACAACAAAGGACACTGGTCATTTGGTGTTGCTTGTTTGGGATTGTGGGCGATTTGAAACGGACTCGAAGGTTTAGGTATTTATTTACTTCACGAACAAACAGTTTATCTTGAGCAGCTCTTCTATTACTTCTCACTGACTAAATACTCAGCTTTGTGCTATTCTGAATTGTGTCTGTCTATTTGAAATATGATGTCTACTCGTGTTTAGCAATGTTTGTGTGAATAATGTACTATTACTTATCTTATGTATAAAAAGGAGAGTTACTGAAACACAAGTGTAGGCCTATCACATGGAATAAAATAAAGATATTTCACCAAAATGTAAAATTTGTCATGTCCTTGTTGGTAAAAAAAAAATAAAAAATGCTGTCATAACCTGTAAAACTATGACACGCTTTATTATTTCCTGGCTTCTGTTTCCAAAAATAAATTGTGGCACCTGAACTGAATGTGAAAAACCTGCCCTGTGTGGGTGTGTGACTGAAACTACTCACTGAGTCAGTGGTATGAAGTTTTACAACAGAGGGGAGTGGCTAACTACGAACACCCGCTTTCCTTCTTCTGAATGAATTTCAACTTGTAGAATCAACACACCAACATTGGAACCAGTGGATAGTCATTCAGTTTAACCTCATTTTTTATATTTTAATTTCAATTGAGGACTCAATTCAAATCAGGATTTTTATTTACTCTTATACCCTAAAATAAAACTGTACCACCAACTGGCTTCAAAAGTGACCTAATTACGACCCATTTTCACTACGACCCACACAAGGAGTGTCACAATTATTTCCATTTCGGGTAGGGCTGCAATAATCAATAGTGACCAATCAATTATCAACTCATTTAGTTAATCTTTTAACTGGAGCATACAGACGCTTAAGAAAAGGTCTTGGCTGAAGGAACAACAGAGCTGTTAAACCAAAGCTGTACAACGAAATTTACATTTTCAAGTTTGTTTTTGTTTATTGGGACAATAATTATTAATAAAAATGTTCCGGTAAATACATGAGATTATAGCCACCTTGCTAATTTCCATCTCTGGTCCCAAATGGCAGGTTGATTTTGCATTTAAGATTTATATGTAAATATGTTCTACCAGGACTTGAGTGGTAGAGTTCCAGCTTCACCTGGTTCAAATCCTGTGAAAAACAATATCCTAAGTACCTTTGGTTGTCCAATTATTAACCAGTTGATTTTTAAAAAATCACCAGATGAGCCCTTCACTGTATTAATGTTAGGTCAAGCACATGCTGACTTGATAAAATATTAAGTCAAAAATGTTATATTAAGCTGCAGATGCATCCTTTGCTACAAATGATCAAGCATTCACTAAAGAAAAGCTGTTATTGCATTTTTAGCATTGAATTTTTTTATTAAAAATGAATTATATTCATCTTTTAATATAGTTCTAATATTGTATAAATATTGCATCATCATCATACTTGAATATCATCATAAGTATAAGTGAATAAGTAGAGACGTGGGTCTAAAAGCATCCCAGGAGCCTAAAAGATACCATCCAGCCAGTTTTTGGCAATAAGTTCATGTTTTTCTGGTACCTGGAAACTGAACCTTTTCAAAATCTCCATAATGTAACGTCACAAATCAGCAGGCACTGCCTCTCACATAGCAGGCCCAGTGAAGTCCAACGCGTTACCTAGCAACCCAAGCTAAGTTTTGCCTGTCACCTAGAAACGCAAGCTGAGTTCCAGCACTGGTGAACTGGTTTTACTGCTGTATGTACTTTTCCAAAGGCTGCTGGAAATGACAAGAGTTTTGATGTTAACTTATTCAGAACCACTTTCTGCGTTCTTGTTGGTTGTGGAGGATGCTCTACTAATGCTTTTCAGAGATGTAAATTGTACAACTGTGCATCTATTTGCAGCCATTTTCACATGTGGTTTCCAAACATTTTCTGGGACCCCCCCTATGGATTACAAATAGCTGTCTGGGACAGGGGGGAGGGGGGGATCGACTTTGTTGGGGACAAAATGAATGTAAGGAGCTGGACATAGACAACAACTTCAGGAGCCTACAAGGTACTTGTTAACAAGCTTAAGGTTCTGTATTGATATTAGCTAGTCATCTTTTAGCTAACATTACCTGCATCCAGCAGCTTTACTCAACTCAGTCGGTTAGTTTGGAGGGAAAAACTGTGAAAAGTTCTTTGCGTTTTGCTGGTTTGCTGCCGTGATTCTAACACAAACCTACGTAGCTCCGCCCAGCAGCAGCAGGTCTCCTTCACAGGTGGAAACCTAGCGCGAGCCGTAGCGCTCATGTTGCGTTTAAAGGCGGCTCGGAAAAACAGGTTACACCATGTTCACAACGGATTAAACAGTTTTAACTGCTGATAAAAGTGACAGAGGACACAGATATGGGAAGTGTGGAAGCCTCTACTGTATCAAATTGACAGGAATAACAGAGAGTTGGCCATTCTAAGGTAAAAACCCAGCACATACAGCGTTCATGTTTTGTTTTGGGGGTTTTTTCATCCGGACGGCATTCCCCCCCCCCCATGCAATGGCCCCACAGTTTGGGAACCTCTGATCTAATGTAATGGACATGTTTTGTACAGCCTGTAGACCTGTTCTGACATGTTCAAGGAAGAACAGTAGGTCACCTAAGGTGCAACAGAGGTTTTCCTCAGATGACTGGAAAATCAAGGATTCTTATGTGTAATACAACAGTATGCTTTAAAATTACTGAGTCACCATTCCAGACCTCATTTCCATAGTCGCGTGTGGATAAAACCCAACTCCTTGACATTCTGACTTCTTATACAAACATTTGTGAAAGAGTGGGTTGCTCTAGGAGCTTTGTGAAAGCGTGGGACTGTGACGATGTGCAATGCAGCTGAAAGCAAGACTATTAGTCATGAACTCCACTAATCTGGCCTTTGTACAGGAGAGGTAAGAAGGAAGCATGTTTGCAGTTTGCACATGGAAGAAAAGGCTCAGAATCCACCATGTTTCATTTCCATGATGAAAAACGGTTTAGTTTAGTTTAGATCCACAGTTAGCTGCAGTAATGCGCCGACTGTTGTTATAGACTTAGGGTTTTGTCCACACATTGTATGATTTACATCACTAAAACAGTTTTTACAAATGAAATACATATTAAACAAGACATGGAAGAAAACATGGCAGAATACATGTAACTTTAGGCTAAGTACATAATTGATTGTAGTGTAAACACATGTAGTGAGTAGTTTAATCTACGAAAAGCCATCCTAAAATGTGCATTTTTCTAAAAGCAATGACAAACAAAGGTGGCAGAATCAAGTTAGGGATGCTTTTATTTGCTTTCATAAGCTGATGGAAACCTCCTTAAGCTGGTGTGTGTACCTGTATCAAAAGAAAAAATGGGTAAATTGTCTTGTGAGCTAGCAGTCAGCTGACGCATATAAAAGGCTCAGGACACCAGTGTCTTTAGAGGCTGCCAACAACTGGAGCGGTTATTCACCGTCTATTAGAATAACCCTTAAGCAGCCAGAGTAAAGTTGTTCAAATTAGTAATTTGGGAGTTTGCCTGATTCATTGTACAACAGAATGACAGAGGAATGACCTTGCTTTATTTACAATTCCAGCCCAGTTTACACAATAAAAACAGATTTTATGGGGTTGATTATAAGTCAATAAAATACAAAAAAACTAACCAAACATATGTTTGTAACCATAATATCCAACAGCAGTTACGTCCTACAGAATTAACTCCTTCATTTTTGCTTATTTTGATTAAAATGTTACTGAATATGTTGATTCAGTCAGCTGATATTTTCATTTCATGTCCTGACATGTTTATAGACGCTCTTTTGAAACTGGTATAACTTGTGGTTAAAAAGTTCCTGTGTAGAAGAAATCAAGTTGCTGATCTTTTTTACCCAGAGGAAGTTTTTGCTTCAGGGTAAACAGCAGATATTGGCAGGCGTTGATGAGGAAAATGTTTTCATAACACGTTGTTAGAATGAATTAAATAAATGCATTACCATTTAATGGAGCTGCACAATATATATCAAATTGCATTGCAATGTCAATATGTGTAATATTGCAATCAGAAAATAATGTTTAGATGCAATGCACCATATTTCATGTGTCATGCATCAATGCTGGTTATAAACTTGGCCAGTTGGACCGACTCTGTCCTCACTGACAACAGTCAGAAAGTGTTGTGGGGACATTGTTTAATGGTAAACAAAGAAAAGAGTCACACAAATGTGGGTCAGTTGTAATAAATATCATTATTGCAGCTGTAGTGGTTCAGTTATTTACCTTCCTGAAATCATGCAGTTTTATTACTTACGTAACATTTTCTAGTTGCTTTTAAACAGACAACAGATGGAAGATTAACTAAAGATGATTGATTATACTGCTGTAGTTATGAAAGTATTTATATTAATCAAATATCTTGTATTGATTGATTTAACTTGTAGGTTTGAAATATTTGAACAATGTTTTATCCTAACTTGGAAATAAGTATGCTCCTATCCTAGTGAAGGAGTGTACAACCTTTGACTCTTAATAACCTTGACAAAAATTATAAAGAACCAACTAATATTTTTTAAATATAGATAAAATAATACTTAGTAGTTTTTCATGGAATAACTGCATTGAATTTCCACAATAAAATGCGACTAAAAGTACCAGTAATTTTTTAGATCTATTTTTCCTCATCACTTGGTTGGAAATTACCTGCTTTTTTATTTATTTACCATAAATATGTAGAGGAAAATGTAGAGTTTGTCATTTTTCTTTATTCCAAAATCCTAAAAATAGACTGTGTTTTTTAAACAATGACAACAAATTGCTACAGTAGATATTTATCATAAAAATTAAGTCGGCTCTAAACAAGTTTTCTTTTGTTTTTTTATTTTTTGTGTTATAAATAAGTCTTTATAATACAATCCTAGTGTTATTACAGTTTATAACTTTAATTATATTTTATCTGATCAGTGAAAATGTAATTCACAAACACTTTGATTTCCACCGTTTAACAGAAGAGAACTTAACAAATACATCTGCGTAATGAAACAACACCACTAACTTAACATTGTGTTTGAACTGAGCACATTTTAAGTATTAAAACTAGAAGGAGTAAAATGTACTGGTTAATTCTAACAGTTTGTTTTTTCAGTGTACGCCTACTTTTGTAAAAAGTCGTGATGTGGCTACATCAACCCTGAGTAATCCTCACACACCCACTCCGTTAAGCCTCCCGCAATCTCGACACAATTAAAGAATCTAGCTGTCAGTTCTAATAAGTCTCTTTATGTCGTCTAGAATCAGTTTCCACCTGGAGAAAATATGTTTTATTGTTTAAATAATGGCGGCTGTTAGCGCTTAGAGCTGTGTTTTAGGGCGGGGCCTCGCCTTTTTTTCCTCCTTTTACGCACACCTGGATTCCGGAAGCGCTCTCACGTCAGAGGGAGAGGCTGTCATTGTTCAGAGGAATGGCTCAGGAATTAACCCAGGAATCCTGCCCGACTTGATCGGTGCGTATAAATGCATCAACGCAGAGACAGGTAGCCGCAGAACAACCCTGACCGTCTGGAGAAGGATCTCTAACTGGACTGAAGTGACCTGAGATTTATTTTATAATCAAAACATGAGTATTTTACCCAACGAGGAGGCATTTGAGGACTTCAAGAGGCAATGTTTGGCCTCCGAAAACTGGCTGAAAAAGTATGACGATAGTGGAAGGCAAGTTTGGATCGAAGTTCTTCCAGACAAGGGGATCAACTCACCCAAAGTCCATAAAATCAAGGTAAGTTACTTTAAATGCTAGTGATAATTACGTTTTGCTCCTTTGTAAACAGAGTGTTGGCTAATGTACCTCAGCGTTTCTCAAATCAGCAAACTTCTGAGATCCTCTTCAGAAATGAAGCAAATAATAAACATGGTCTAGTGTCCAGGAGCTCTACTGAAACTTTTATAGGACTTTCCAGAAACTTTCCTAAAATGCATCTGTAATTGTCAAGAAACTCACCTGGCGTTTCTATGGAGCTTATTACTACTTTTTAGCATCCTAAATTACAGGTAAGTTCAATGATGGCTGCAAAGAAATTATAGGTATGTAGCTAAGTGTGAGTTCAGTTTAAGTTCAGGTAAGTTCCAGGAAAGCTGCCTGCTGTTTGTATGAAAGGTAGAGATAAGTTCCAACAATTTATCTTGATAAAGAACAAGCAAGTTTTTTGAGGACGTCATGCAAGTTCCACGAAAGCATCTTCAAGTTGAAGAATGTAACCTCTAAAGTTTTAAAGTACAAGCTGTAATATGCAGTCCAAAAGATAAGAGAACAGACACATTTATGGCACAAAATGATGTCTTTACAAGTATATTGATTTATTAGTAATGTTTGTACACCTATCCATTGCTCTGTTTCTTTGTGAGGTAGAAGATGAAAAGCTTAGAAAGATGTGTCATCGTATACGTTTTAATAAACGCTGTTCCTATTTCAGTGCAGAATGAGCATCGAAGATGTGCCGGCTGCCACCATGTACGACGTGATTCATGACGGTCAGTACCGCAAGGAATGGGACACCAACATGATGGAGAGTTATGACATCGCCCGGCTCTCTGACAATGCGGATGTGGGCTACTATTCATGTGAGTACTCCTTTCCGTTAGTCTAAAGGTTTTGCTTTACAGTTTTGCAGTTGCTTTATTTTCTTAGTTAAAAGCCACTACTTATAGCCTTCTGTGTGAGACATTGTCACTGCTTTTAATCTTTCCACAAACCTGTTGCTCCTGTTCAGACTTTCCCATGAAGACTGAGTGGCGTCTTGTTTCACTAGCCTATTTATTGTCACAACACGTGGATCCATGGATGTGAAACTAATGGAAAATTTTATGTTTTTACTTTTTCGCCTACATACGCAGGGCGCTGTCCAAAGCCGATAAAGAACAGAGACGTGGTGACTCTGCGTTCATGGCAGGTGAAGGGGGACGAGTACATTGTCATGAACTTCTCTGTCAAACACCCGGTATGCGTCTTCCTCCCAACAACTTAATCTAATGGACACACATCTGTTTTTCTCACTATTTTTGCAACTTTCCATGTCTTGCTTGCAGGACTTTGCGGTAAAAAACAAATTTGTAAGAGCAGTGTCAATCCTGACTGGTTATTACGTCAAAGCTACAGGACCAAACAGCTGTATTTTCATTTATCTTTCACAAGCTGACCCAAAAGGTAAGAAACCACCAAGCCAGATCCTGAACATCCTTACCTAACATTTTCAGAGACATTTGTATCTTATTTATGTGTTTTTCTTTAAGGTTCTCTTCCAAAATGGGTGGTGAACAAAGCGTCCCAAGTCCTCGCTCCTCGGGTAAGTTCTGCCACAAATTTAAACAGATCAAGGCTCAAAACGTGTATCGGCATTTCCACAAATGTGGGAGTGTGTCCCTTAAGAGAACATAAAATGTACACATGTGAGAGGCCTGAGTTCAGGTTTCATGTGTCTTTAACAATGGTAACCATAGAAACACAACTGAAGGGCCTTGTCCAGGTAAAACTCGCTGCTGACAAAGGAGAATCTCAGCTCGAGGTGTTACCTGGTCGCCCAGCAGAACCTGTTCCCCAGGTCTTGTCTCAATTGAACTATTTAGAGACACGTTTACAAGTTTCTGCGGCTGCTTATGCCCTGTAGCGAAACAGAAGTGCAGAGATACAAGCGTCTCCTTTCCAAGGATGGTAGACGTTATACTTTGAATGGGAGCTGATACAAAAACTAGGCTGTTTGGCGTAATAAAATCATAAAATAAACAAACAATGCGTTTTGTGAGCTTGGGTGTCAGAGCTAGCATGAAAAACACTGAAATAAAACAAAAAGCACATCAACTTCAGCCTAGTTGTGATACAAGCAGAGACAAAACAAAGAAAATTAGGAGAAAGATAGATCAGACAACATTTATGCACTTCAAAACTCAATTCATTGGGAGTGTTAACCATTTTCTACCCAAGTTTTGGGTGTAAAAACAAGATATTTTCTAATGATTGTATCAAAAACTTCCTTACAACCCAACAAAGCCAATTGCTGGTCATTCTGTCCCAGTTTTGGCCAGAGAAACTGGACATTTGGTACCAACCAAATGTCCAGTTTGGTTGGACTTCTGCTCAAAGCTAGTCCTTGTCCTCTTTACATTTCTTTATTTTAAACTTTTGGTCTACCAAAAAAAGTTGGGTATGCAAATATAATGACTTTGCATCAGTTCTTGCTTGTAATGTGGATATTCTAAACTTAATTTGAAAACTGATCACAGTCTACTGTAAGTAAGCAGTGCTGTAAGGAAATGTGGTTTACTGCTGCTGCTGCTGCTGCTGCTCAGTTGTTCTGGTTTGATCAGAGGTCACAGTTTTGTGTCTTTCATAAGATTAACATGATCTGATAAATGGGGATCAGAACCATAAACGATGAAAATAAGTTCCAAAATAAAACTATATGCAATAAGTTTTTGGATCGTTTGTCTCTTTAGTTGGCCAGTGAAATATTTGGTAAAGTGTATGTGAGGTAAATGTTTTGCTTATGTGTGTGGAATCAGAGAGAAAGCCTTCAAATCTAATTGTTTTTAATGGGGATTTCTTTGATCAAAAAGAGACAATGTTACAAAGCAGTCAAATGTATAAATACTGGCTGCTTTATGAGTTTTATTTTTGCCTTTTGCACAGTTTTAAAACCAGTTAGAATATGTGTAATTGTTTTGTTTTTTCCCTTTACGTTTTCTCACAACCTTTCAGCTTTGACTGAGCCACCTTCAATACAATCTGTCGCAGTGATTTATGTAAACCTTTTTACCTTGAGCATTGTTTGCTGAGAGTGGAGGTGTGGCACAAATCTTTTCCGTCATAAAGCAGCCGTTCTGATCGTCATCTCTTATCCTTCCAGGTGTTGAATAGCGTGCACCAGGCGGGAAAGAACTACCCGGCGTGGAAAAAGAAGAACTCTCCCGACATGAAGGCCTGGCTCAACCCGAAGCAGAACAAGCTCTCCTACATGGACCCTGCCTTGCTGTCCATACAGAAAGCAGACTCTCTCGAAAACGTGGATGAAAGCTCCAAACTGGATGGTCAGGACGCTGAAGACAGCAGCTAAAAGTCGCACAAGTGAAAAAGGAAAGGTGGCCGATAAGAGAGAGTGGGGGTGACCTGTACATAGTGTTTTTTTAAGAGAGACTTTAAGACTCCCAGCTTTCTGCGACATCACCTCAATCCTTCAGTTTTATATCAGTGTGCCTTACAGAAGTATGAAGTGTTTACAAACGTCTTAATGCAGAAAAGAGCTCAGATCAAGGTACCAGTCACCTCTTTGAATCTAAGCTTGTGTACAGGAACAGAGGTGGTGGATATTTTTAAAGAAGCACAATACAACGGGTCTTTGGCCAGGGTATTTATTTTCTACTTATGGAAAAAAAAAAAACACAAAGCTTAATGTGAAAGGAAACGGAGTACGACTGTTAGATATTGGCATATTTTTGGTGTCTGTAAACTAAAAATTAGACCATGCTCAGTCTTAATTCCTAAAATGCAACTTTCTGTTAGAACCTCAGAGACTTCCTTTATTTTTTAAACTCATGCATATGGCCAGTTAAAATGACACAACGCAGGTTTCATGCTAGCATGTTGACAGAAATTTGGCCGTTTTTCAGGAAAATACTGTGTACTAGTTAATTATTGACCGGCTAGATTTGTCCCCTTCAATGTGTAATGAAGAAGTTGTGCAATCAAATGAAGTGCAATGGAGTAACATATGCCAAAGTCATTCTCTCAAAGAGAAACATTTTATGTAAATAGCAATATTGGTTAACAATTTGGGTTTGGTTGAAACCATGTGAAATATTTGGTAAAGTTTATTTATTACACTAAACTGATGAAGCCAGGATTGTAATGACGCCTGTTTGGCTGAAGGTTTGTTTTTTCTTTTTTTATGTTCTCAGAATATTTCAGGTTGACTTTTCAAAATAAAGCAAACAAAGCCTGACATACCACAGTGATCCCTACTGACGGGATTCCTCGTACGAGGTCAGTTTCTCTACAGACCGAGTGGAACGAGTTCTGTGACTCGTTCTGGAACAAACCAGTTCGTTCTCAGGTCTGGTGCCAGTTCTTCCAGTGCACAGAAAAGCTTTCAGCCCGGGTCATTCATCTTTTATGTGCCACGTTGCGTTTACGAAAAACGTCAAATCATAATGAGTCGAGTTTAAATGATCAACCTAAAATTACACAGTCTTTTAATAAACATTTGCGCAAATGCTTGGCAAACTTTTTTAAAACGTACAGAATGTTTCTTGGTACAGTTTGGCAAACATTGTTTTTGTCCTTTTCTATTGATTTTAACAAGTACTGGTATCAATCCAATTAATCTACAAAGAAATCTAAAATTATTCCACAAACTATGTGATGAAGTATTTAAATCAATCCTGCACTTTGCTGACGGTTTGGCACATAAAGCATGCAATGCTGGGTAACAACTAAGAACTTCCTCAACATCTTTGCAGCCTTATTGTTGCAACACACAACACATTTTTGACAAATGCATTTGTCAAAAATGCATTTCTGAATGTGTAAGTATCACTTAATTTCTGTGGTCGCACTGCACAAGACTCCACTGCTGAAGAAAAAGCATGTAGAAGTATGCTTCAAGGGATAAAGCTAAAAATTGGGACGAGCTAAAAAAGAAAAAATACTAGGAATGTGTAGTTTGATCAGATAAGATCACAGTTTAACTCTTCTTTGGAGGTCAGTGCACACCTTGTTTGGAGGAAAATTTTACTTTCCATCGTCCCAAAGAGGAAATGAGGCGTATTACTAAGTACTAAAGAAGTTACAACATTTGTTCCCTGTGTTAAAATATCTACTAATTCATTGGCTCATTTGTCATGAATTCCTGGTGTGTAATAATTACCTGGGCTGTTACTGACACCTGGTGCAAAGTTCATGTCAACATCCTGCAGGGAAACGTAAAGAAGTGACATTGACATCAACAATGAACGTAGTTAAACACTCAATGCCCTGAAATTCTCAAGCAATGTTTTTTTTTATTATAAAAGTATAACAATGTCTTATGAAGCCATGTTAACCTTTTGGCACCTGAATTTGTTAATGTTTCTTGAATGGAGAAACTATACAAAAATGGGATGTTAAAATTAGTATTCATATTTACAGTTTGTATAATTTCATACACAATTACAATATTTGATAAATACTCAAAAACTTGTAAAGTGACACAGACACAGAAATATTTAAAATTTATCAGAAGTCTTGCACGATTTGCCCTTACAGTTAATGTCCCCATAAATTATTTCCGTCAGTGTTTTAATGTTTTGTTTTAGTGTCTAATGTCAAGATTAGTGGGCTAATCTGTACCATTTGGGACTTCAAAATGCTATTAAACATAGATGAGACATTATCAGTACTAAATTACATTAAAACCCTTTTTTAAAAATCAGTAATTGAGATTACAATGATACATTTTCAAATGCAAAGCATAACACTATATGATTGGACAGTAATGCGGCAGAAACTATCAAATATTGCAGGACAGCTGACAACATTTCACCATCTTTAACCACTACACCAGAGAACGGATCTTCCCAACATGGAGGAATTTGAATGAGACAAACAATCTGTCATCTCGAAGCTGCGGTAGAGTGCTTAGGAGTCTGCAGGAGCAGAAAAATGACGTCGAATGAAGTGTTTTAGGAACGCTGCTGCCCCCTAGTGGACAGTTCTCTCCTTTTGCCTCTGGTAGTCTGATGGGAGGAACAGAGAAAACCATTATTCAGCTGAAAAACGAATCATTATGAGATAATTCGGGAAAGCTTTTCTGTTTTTCTTTTGGAAACTTAAAAATCCAACGGATTTTGATCTTGGTACGCTGGTGTTACACCAGCGTACCAAGAGAATCATCCAAATCATCCAAATCCTGAAATATGCTTTTCTTTTCAATACTCAAATGCAGAAAAAGGTAGATAAAGCGCTCACAGGTTAAATAAAATGAAAGATTTAATCTAAGCCAAACAAGATTGAGCATGTTGACTGGATAGGGTTCAAATTAATAGTTAAATGAGCACAAAGAAAAACATTTATGTTATCACAGCTGAGATCAGTGTTACAACAGGGCTTTCAACACATTTTATCTGATAGTGTCAATTCTTTACTCCTCCTGCAGCCTGCAAAAACATTCACTGAATGAAACCAGACTAACCAAATCTGTAAACACGCCTTTGTATGAAACAAAGCACTTACTGTAAGGAAAGAAGCGAACCTTCATCACTATTTCCCGAGCAGTCTTCAGAATCTCTACCGCCTAAAGAGGGTGACAAATGTTATTGGTGACTGGTGATTAATTTCACGACTTGCACTACTCGTTCTTCAAACTTTTAAAATGTAACGTGCTTAAACAGAACAGAAGCTTACAGAAAGTAAGCTTTGTGAACAGCACACGTTATGTCAACGTTTATCCTCATAATCTCATATCAAAATTTCACCGCAGGTAGGAATGAGCTTTGTATGACGGCAAATTGGGGCGATTGTAGATATAAAAAAAATAGCAATAAAAAAGTCTACTTTTGAGGTAAATCTCAAAAAATAAACTACACTCACTTTTTGAAGAGTCCAAAAATTTGCTAGAACTCTTTTTTTAGATTGATCTCAGAAATGTTCAAGAAAGAAAAACTTTTAGATTCTAGTTTCTGGGCTTTTTTCTAGCAAATTTACAACTTTTAGAACAGAAATTATTCTGGTTTTTTCTAGAAAATTTTAGATTAATCTCAAAATTTGAGTTTTTTCTAGCAAATTTTTAACATTTCAAACTCAAATGCCCTTATTTTTTCTAGAAAGTTTCTGTGAATTTTTTGGTAGAAATTTACTCTTCTGTTTTTTCCTCTCTCCGCTGCTCTTCTGTGCTGTCGTAGTTTTGGACCTTTGCCTCCCTCACTATCCTCACTGGGTGTTACAGCTGTTTTGATTTTTTAATTATAGCTGTGACTTTAGAAATGGGAAAATCTAGGATTCTAGCCATTTTGGTTTTTTACAGCCATTTGATGATTTATGAAAAATAAAAAGGTATTATCTGTATTACTTAAATGACCCATTTTCTTCTCTTTCCCATTTTGAAGAATGACCAACAAGTCCTGGACTTCTGTTTTATGTCAAATTTACAGGTGAAAATTTTCTGCTTAAAATGAAAAAAGCATATACTAAAAACATCAGTTTTCACATTTCAGACTAAATACATCAACATTGTCTTGTGTCAAACCTGAGCAGTGAGACGATAATCCAAAAAATAAGTTGCAGCTGAACCAGAAGACAATTCAGACCAAATAATGTGAAGAAAAATGCACCAAAACTACAACACATTCTAACCCCTAACCCTAACTTCTGAGATGCTAAACGGAGTAAATACTGTGATGAATTAACTTTAACTTTCACTGGTTCTGCTGTGACTTACTCTCGAATGCTCTATGTCTTGGAAATCCACATCATTCACAGAAAGAACCTGATCTCCTTCCTGCAGTCCTGCTCTGTGGGCGTCTGAATCTGGGACCACCTGACACCACAAAAGACACAAAATATTATTTATTACCATAATATATGGGTCTTTCAAACACAAAATAAAAGCTTAGGAGGCATGATAACTACTCCTGCACACACCTTGGATATAAAGATTCCTAGTTGTGATGCCTTGCCTCCTCGGATGTTAAAACCCAGCTGGGCTCCTGGAGGTTTCTTCAACACGATGGTGCGAGGGAGGAACTGGGTGAGCTCGTTGTTGTAGTCAGGATGATGAACCCTCTAACAAGGAACCAAGAAATACACAGTGAAGCCCAGAAACGTACATACACGGTGCGACAGCCAGAACAGTTGCTATATGCCAGAATTATAAGAGAATTGTTCATCTAAGTTGGAAGTTTGCATGCATTACTTCTTTGAGGTTAATTAATATTTAAACTGGAGTATTTTAAGTCAAAATGCACCAGTTTAAATGATTTCTTGTGAGTCATCAGGGGGAAATAAAAATAAATCAGTAAAGATAGCAGAGAAGGTAGAAATTATTCTTAAGAATAATTTGAGATGCTTGAAGGTGCCGAGTTTATCTGTTCAGAGATAAATGTGCAACGGTAAACAGCATAAAAATATTTGTGCCAGCTAGAGATGGGCAAAATGGGCTTACATTTTTTGCGGTACTATTGTAATACTGATGAAATTATGGTTTAAAAACAATTTATTACTTATTTTTTAGGCATCTATGCTGTAACTGCACAGTATTCGTAACGTCACAAATAGTATTCTTGAAAAATATTTCTATTTAAACATGACGCAACTTATTTAAAGAAGTGAAATTTACATCACTAAACTGCACACAAAACCTACATTTAATCATATTTTTTTTTAATTTACTCATATTTATTGATGCTCTTGCAGAACAAATAGTGAAACAAAAATTTCCAATAAAACTGTCAGTTTTGTTTTTTTACGCTAAAAAATAAATGCCTACACTTGGTGCTGTCACATTATTAAGGAAAGAGACTGGCTCTGTATCCTAGAAATGAATGTGTATTTGTGTGAAAGTCAAAGTCAGTATTTTTACAGTAAGTTAAAAATTTTTTACAGTAATAATTTTACAGTAGCTGATAATGTGTGTGAGCGAGGCAGTCTGCAAATCGGACTCAGTTACAGCAGTTCTGTTGAGAGAAACGGGTCAAAATCCCGTAAATTATTGTGAGAAAACATGATGAAGAAAACTCAAGTACAGAGTAAAAGGCAAATCCAACAAATATTAAGAAAATCTAATTTTAAATTAGAAGAAAATGTAATAATCTACTTAACAACAACCTTATTGAGGACATATATAATTTCTAATCACATAATTATAGTTACAAAATGATTCATGTAAATTTAATTTAAAAAAATAAAATAAATCAGACACCTTATTTAGAAGGATTGCATTACAAGACTAACCCTGTTAACTGATTAAGCTGTAAATATGTAATGAACAAGTCTAAGCAGGACACACAAGATAATCAGCCACTATCACCTGTTAACGTTGCCGTCTTTGTCCAAATGTTACTCAACCAGGAGAAAACGCCGTTAGGCCTGTCAGTACATCCTTACTACCGTGTTTCCCCGATTGTAAGACGTATCGGAGGTTTCAGGGGGGTCGGCTAATATAAGCCGTACCCCGAAANAGCCCGGCTTTAGAAAAAAAAAAGATTTTTTTTTTTAAAGCATAGCAGGCCGCCAGGCTTATAATACACTGGGGTAAACCCTGGTCTTAAACTTTTGATCAGCTGAAAAAAATCATGTTTGAGTGTAAATGCAGTTTTCAATTAATTTCCCGCTCAAAAGTTTTTGTCTCTTACGCTGATTTCTTCTTTTAACATTGTCAAGCTCTACTTAGAACCTTCTTAAGATCCAATAGTGCAAAATGCAAATTCTTGCAATTTTGTGACTGGTCTTAAGATTTTGATCAGGAGTATATTTCATTGGGTGACATTTAAGCATCTTTCTCTCTCTCTTTCTTATTCCCTTGCAGCTTGCTTTGTAGAGTTGTGTTCAGCATGTTAAATGCTGTTATTAAAAGTACTAATATTAGTTACAGTATTGTTCTGCATTAGATCATATTTAACCTTTGTGAAGGTTTTTCTGTGTTCAACCAGCGATATCAACAAGGTA